TATTTTGGTTGTGAGATTTTTATGCAGCTCAAGAAGAATCCTTATCTTTTGAGCAGACATTCCCTGGCTATCCAGAGCTTCCATGATTGCTTCCATTGCAACTAATTCAAAAGCTTTCGTTAAATCGATAGAAGTGAGATATAGCAGTCTCTTATACTCTCGCGATACTTCAGTGATTTTTTGACACCCTGCTTGCTAACATGGGTATCCTTCGTCCAGTATTCTGTCAATCCTGTTTAGGATGGCTCGAGTGAAAAGTTTGTAGACGACAGAGGGTAAACAGATTGGTCGATAGTTGCCAATATCGTGGAGCTCACCAGTCTTGAACAATACCTCGGTCTTGGTGGTCTGTCACTAAATAGGAACTTTGAATTCAGACAGGTAACGTGTGAAGAGCCGAGCCAGTGTGTTTACGAGGACTGGCGGAAGGTTCTTCAGGTATTCAAATCTTATCCTGCCTGGACCTGGTGTTCGATTCTTCGCCGACGAAAAAGCACTTCGGAGGGAGAACTGGTTGTGCGACATATCCATCTTTTTATTTCACACGAGTATAGCAGAACATGACTATACAAAAGACCTGAGCAGTAATGGTGAATGATTTTCTCCGTTGCTTTTCTGGAAGCTGTAACTGTTCTACCTGGAAATCAGACTATAATCATCTTGCTTTTATAGTTGACGGAGGTTCGATGGGCTTTGCAAATGCTTTTCTGAGCGTCCGCAGCTTCGACCCTAACTGTTGCTCTTCCCTCTTTATGATCGTCTTTTATCCCTTTATAAACCGTCAAAGGGATTGACCTGAGTAGTTGCTGATAGCGCCTATAAAACATGACTGAGAGAGACGAAACGAAAGACACGTATGGCGCAGTGATGAATGCCTTAGCCCCCGGAAAATGTAATAGCGTGCTCGATTCACATCGCAGACACCGGCGGTCCGGAGTGTTGCAAATATCTTAGCATCATTGTGGTTGTATTTTCCGCCATGAAAAAAGAGTAGACAGTAGCTAAAAAGTAACTACGGAAATATATTTCTTGTATCTTGCAAAACTCCACTAAATGCGGACAGTATTGTGATTGGATGGTGGGTGAGTTTTTTTTTTTTCATTACGTATAAGAGTTGGATATGTTCCAAAGGCGTAGAGCGATGCACAGAAGATACGTAGGATAGGGAGAACACAGAGGTTACCACTAAGGAATGCAGAATGACCTAATTGTAGAGAGGGTACTTTGGTTGAGGCAATTCAAAGCGAGAGCGACCAAAGATTACGCGTCGCCCAATGCGCCAGCCATAGGAAATTGCGCATCAGCACTATTGGTATAGTGAATCTTCAGAAACTATCGAATCTCATATGTAAACTTATAACTTTCACTCGACGAGGAGTCGGAAAATAAGTGACATTGCTGTAAAATAGTAGCTAGTGGCGTGTAATATTGATTGAATCCTTCCAATTTTTATTTTCAGGTTCCTGAGATCTTCAAAAAGGAGTTAGAAGGTGACCGGACAGACACGTAGTTGCAACCATGCCTTCGTCATTCCGTGGTAAGTAATCTAACGAATAGAACAACTATACACTCATCATATTAGGGTGATACAAACCGTCGAAAACAACACCTATGAGTACAGCGATTCTACTCTGCTATTCTGAGCTCTGTCTAAATTCTAATAGAATACTGCGCTTTGATACTTGTAGGACACGGTCTATCCATGAAAGTGGGAAGCATGCCGTAACGTCGCGAAGTTTTCTCATCATTTGTCGCGTACTGAAATCGAAGGGCAAATTGTGAATTCGGATAATCACGTAAACCCGTCCGTAACTGTATATATCTCTTCACACCAATGAAATGACTGGCAGTCCGAAACGCATGTCATCGAATTCATCCATTCTTAGTCGTCGTTCTAAGACCCTCGCCTTCCTCGTAGCTTAGTGTTAGATAAGGACCTGTAACGGAGACTGCTTCTTTATAAAGGAGACTATACAGATATGCTGAGCTCACACCCTCAGTAGTGCATTATACTGCGACTGATAATGTTGCGTTGTATTCTATTTGTAAAATAAACCGCAGCAGGATCAACATTCTGAAGTTGTGTCCTTGCGACCTGCATTACAATCAGGGACTTTAACAGTAATCCCATGGCACGTGTAGCGAAGTAGTTAGAGGTACCCTGCAATACACACGTTAGTTCAATCACGTTTCCGGACTCACCAAATCCTCCACTACTTAGGGGTTTGCAAATTAGTATAAGGCTTGTCTGAGAGGATAGCATCACCAACTTGATAAATCGAGAGGCCACCGCAAGTCATTGTATAGGCCAAATCACCAAATCAATAAGCTTTAACGATATCTCATGAAGGCGAATGCATGGCGTAGTCTTCGAGGATTGATCCACGTCGAGATCTTTATCCTTTTCTCGCAGTTCTTTTCATGACGTTAGGCCCACTTGAAATTTATCTAAGGAGACTACAGAAAAAGTCCCCCTATATAAATTTCATGTGCAGCACAAACTATTTTCCGTACTATTAAGGGGTCCACTAGATACGAAAGATAGCGTGTACAGGTACTCCAATCACCTTTTAACTTCAACATTCTTGATCCTTTGATGCATAATTCTTCAATCTTATCGTTTATGCTCTCTGTTCCATAAAAGTAGGAGTACTGGAACCCATGGTTACCTAATAACCTACCTATCCATATTACTAACACGTGAACATCCTCAATGTATCACATAACCCAATAACATGTTTTGAATTATTTCAGTCCGGGTCTAATCACTGGTAACTTTTGCTCAGCTCATATTTTGTTAATCACTGTCGACGATGATTTCCTATTAAGTAACCATGCTTACTATATGATTTTGTACCGTTTTGTGTTGGCCAGTTTTTTTAATTAAATGAATATTTATAAATCTTTTTATACACATGATGCCAAATATAAGGGAATTGAACTAGTTTCTTCCGGTTGCTTTGAAAATGGTTCATAAAGTAATTTTACTGCTGCGGTAATCCACACATAACATAACGCTGAATTCTGCTTGATGCTAAAAAACTCAGTGTTAACATTTCAAGACGTTTCACGATGATAAACAAGTAAGCAAATAAGAAACGTTAATCAATAAAGATATAAAGGTAATAAAAACAACACTACCATTACTGACCACTGCTGCATATTCGAAACATGCACAGACAATGGAACTCATGTGAACCTTATCACAGCCGGAAGGAACGCAAAAGACAAACAAACATATGATAAAGTGGATGGACACGTATTTCACATACGATGAAATATGAAAAACATCTTTATTGTGGCTACTGTATATTGTACGTAAGAAACTAATACGTCCATTACTGAAATTGAACTGTCTATTTCCATGTTGGTCAAACATTGTTGCAAATTTGCCTCTATAATCTTAGAAAAGGATGAAAGCGATTGATGTCAAGCATTAAATTATAAAGCAACATCACTGGAGTACAAATATTACTGGAATACGCTGAGATGTCACCTGTAGCTAAGGTCGTTAAGAACGCATGAATAAAGAAAAAGAATTGAAAAACACCTCATCAGATGCGAGGCACGACAAAAATCAAAAGCAGAAATATCCTCTCGGTAAAAATTTAACATTCTTCAGTCGCCAAAAGTTCTTAATATCAAAGAGAGTTGCATGCGGCATTTCCAGCCTTATCTTCCTTTCACGTGTTTCAGCAATAACTCTTTTTTTTTTTTTTCAAATTCTATGCTATTATGAATCAGAAGTGCATGGTTACGCACTTTCGCTCTGCATAATTGAATCAATATATATTGCATTTTTGACAAGCCTTATACTTATAGACTCCGATTTCAAAACAGCCATTTCGACGAATTTTATTGAGAATTGGAAAGTTGAAGAAGCTCGCCAAACTGATACCGCATGAATTGAATGGCCTTCTTCCACGATAATGCGCCACCGTATGTTATATTGCCGATGTTACAAAGGTTGGACGAGCTGGGCTACGAAATTCTACCTCATCCGCCATACCCATCACACATCTCGCCTAGCGACTACCACTTCTTCAAATGTTTCGAGAAACTCTCGCAGTAGAAATGCTTCAGAAACGAAGCCGAGGCCAATATTCCCTTAAATAACTTCATCACTTCAGAACTCGCTTTCAGTAACCGGAAACTTATTTCGAGTAATAAACTTTGAATTGAGATATAACGCCTTAAAGATACAGGTCGGAAACCTTCTACTAGCTTCCGAACAACCTAAAAGTAGTCTCCGAAATCCTAAGCGACCTACTTTCTTTTTGCAACAATGCTTGACGATAACGGACAAGCAAAATAATGTGAAATGAATGAAATTAGTGACAAAAAGTTGGACTAAAGTTGAGTTAAGGGTGGAAACAAGGAAATAACTGTTGAGCTTTCTGCAGCACACCTACAGCGTTCTCCTCCGGAGTTTGTAAGAAGAGAAGTTCGCCGAAAATTCACAATTCACTGCGGCCTTCAGAGTCTGGCTACAGTGTCGAAAAGCTACGAGAACGAGCTATGTTAGAACCAAATAGTTGGCAAAGAGTGGTATAGACCAGTTCTGAACATTTACAAACCAAAAGTGACCAAACTGGAGATCTGCGACTTCGGACCAGTCATCCATAAAACAGTAGACTTCGTTTTACACTAAGTTGATACAATACAAACCATCAATACAGTGAAGTCCAAAGCTCTATGCACCATCCAAATAGCGATCAATAAAAGCACAACTACAACTTCGGACTCACCTTTTCCTTTGAGTAGTCCTCTACTACACGAATATGTAAAAATAAAACACGACGTGCAGATCGTCAATGCACGAAGGTGACATATGATCTATGAAAATCGCAATTCTACTTGACTTATAGTATCAATGAGTTCATTGTTTCAAAATCATTCATATATAAAAAGAAGCAAAGTAAATGTACAATCTGTAAGCCCGAGTCAATAACATATAAAAGCAGATTAACGAAGATGCCACCTCATGACCACGTTGAGCGCTATGCCATGTTGTTCTTAGGTGTCGGCTTCGTTTTCATTGCGTCCGTTTTCTTTCGCCTCTCAAGATTATCCATGTTCGCTCGTAGAACCGATACATACGCTAAGTGAAATTTATTCACTTCTTTCGACGACACCTGAAAAAAATCAACGGGAGTGCAAGTTATTCAGAAGGTACCACATCACAAAGCTGGGTTTCTAACATCAATATATAGTAAGCATTCAAACTCCGGCATAGTCTCCCAAAAGTTGTTGAGGTATTCGACATCTTTATTTAGACTCCCAGCTACAAAATACACCAATGGAGAGAAACATCGTAGCCTTGTTAGTACTTTAACACCAACTTGGTAAATTGGTAAATCTGCCTCTGATTCACAAGTGCCAGCAATCAGTTTGGTTCGAAGATTGCAAAGCCATGCTTGTTAAGGCTAAGGTAAATAAATCCATGATGGAGAAATATAAAAACTATTACACCGCTTTGCTCGATCAATTTACACAGTCAACCAGTTGAGAAAGTAGGATTCTGAAAGGCATTCAGCTGCACAAGCCACATCTATAGCATAGCTAGTGCCATGAATATATATTCCGGGTACAACTTACCGATTGCTCTAATCCTTTTCGACTATGAAGTGTTTTTAGTGTCGAGACGCATGTGGTTCTAGTAAACAAACGCCAGCCAAGACGTAGGATGTTCTAGACACACAGTCTAGTCAACAGTTGTTACAACTACATCTCGAAAAGGCATTTTCATTGACCTCTTACTATCCCCGTAGAAAAACGTTCTTGAAGGAAAAAGAATTTTAAATTTTGTCGAAATTGTTCAATAGATTATCAATGGAAAGTTCTCATCAAATGTTCATTTTCCTTAAGCCATCACCACCTTTTTCGAGAAGTACCATGAATCAACCAGAAAGCTCGATCAACCAACAGAACAAAAACTCCGCCCTCATGCAGTGGTTCACACAGCGTTTCGTTATGGAAATTGAGATGTGGGCTGATGATCAAACCACATCGACAATTCTGTGCACCCTAACCACAGCCCACATTATGAAGCAGAACTACACATCTCAGAACTTCGAAAAATCCCCTATCCTCGAGAATGAAGACAGCGTAGATCGGACCCCACATGAATAGCGGCGTGTTTTATAACGACGATCTACAACAAGCAAGAAAACATTGGTGATCGCAACTGGCGATATCCGTGAATGTTAAGCGATTTACATATCAGGGAATGGTACTCATAGATGTAAGCATGACATAAACACATCACCATCATAAACGAAAATCAGCGGCGAAGGAGAGGTGGAAAATGTGTGGAGCTATCTATAAACAACATATTTGTATAATCAAACAAACATATACGTACATGCATACATACACATATACATATATATTTCCTTGATACTTGAACGGCCCGTCTTCACTGGTTGTGCGGGCCACTAATCACCATTTTTCGGAGATTTGTTGGCCAAGCCACTGTAGTTCCCTGGAATCCCGAGGTCAGCCTGGCTAAAGTCTGGTCCAATATACACATGTATATATGTATATATATATAGACACATAGAGAGCGTGTGGCGCAGTGGTCGAAAGCGCCCTGCAACACACCCGTAGAATCGATCCTCAAGTCCGGGACTCACCTAGCCTTCCATCACTCCGGAGTGATCGGCAAATTGGTACCAAACTTGTCTAAGAAGATAGTAGCAGCGGCTCGATACATCAGTATGCCACCGCGAGTCATTATGAAGACCAGATATGCATTCATTCACCTCCAAACGATGCTTAATGAAGTGGAATGCATGACGCATTCCGAAGAGATTGATCAATGCCGAGAGCTTTATCCCTTATCCCTCCTTTATCCTTATATTTCTCTATATGTATACACATATATTTATGTATATGTGTACATATATACATACATACATACAAAGAATAAAGCTCTGTATCGATCAATTTAGTGATTGAATGCATGTGGCCTATAAATGACTCACTGTGGCGTACCGATGTATCTAGTCAGTGCTGCTATCCACACCAAGACATTTTTGGCACAAATTTTCCAAACCTGAGGTGGCGAAGGGTTTGTTAACTTCGGGGTACGACACCGAACCATGTGTATAACAGGCCACTTCCAATCACTGCGCTACACACGTCCCTGTGTATACGTATGTATGTGTACGTATACATACAAGCATATACATATTGGTGAATGTTCATGTGCATATATATGTATATATACATATATATATATATGTAATCCACATACATATATACATTATATATATGTATATATATATATGAATATACCTATGTACGCGTATATACAACATATACATTACCAAGGCAAACTTAATGGTACTGGTGCCGTTCAACAATAAATGTAAACCTGCGCTTCGATCTCACGCTCAGCCAACTAAGCCTTCCATCTTTCCGGAGTCAGGCAATTGGAATTACACTTATCTGGGAAAATTTCCAATCCAACCACAAAGACTGACGACTGCAATACTTTTGAACACCGCAACAGGGCAAGCCCAAGATTCCATCTATTCGCCCAGAAACCAACGATGTCCATAAAGAAGACCTAAACCTTCAACAATCAACTGGGCACACACATAAATCCGAAGACCTTCGTGAATGACGGATGAAAGTCAACGAATCGACTGAAAGAAGTGTAGCAGGTCGCATGACACATGAAGACAAAGATACATTTAAGTAAATAACCATATCAGAAGATATGCACGAAGGGTTTCACAGATTTGCAACAAGGCGCAACAGCAACTGTTCTGGCATGAAGGATAAAGGATAAAGCTCTCGGCCTTGATCAGTCCCAGATGGTGGGCCATGCACTCGATTCCATTCGCAGCATCCTTGGGGGTGATTAAATGCTTACCTGGCCTATAGGATGACTCGCGGTGGCCTGCCGATGTATCGAGCCAGTGCTGTTATCCTCACAGACATGTTTGGTACCGATTTGCCGACTCCGGGTGATGGAAACTTGGTGGGCCTGGACCTGGAGCGCGGGGATCGATCCCATGCATATTTCAGGGCGCTTCCGACCACTGCGCTACATGCACCCATCTTCTGGCATATGAAAGGAATTACGTCTTATATGAAGAAACGGTCAAAGTTGATAAGTGTTTATTACGAAGCTAACCACAGTGCTGATACGCCTTTTTCCCAGTTTGGCACGAAACAGACATTTGTTGCAATCCAATTGGGAATCGGCATTCTTGGGTTGTGGCTTCGTACGACCATCATCTAAACAATCGATAAAACAATTAGGACTCGTGGAATATCGCTAAGGCTCAAACAGACCGATATGCTTAGGTAGTACGAACACAAAGTACATACGTAGTTATTACTAGCTATGTTTCGACTAAACCTACGCCAAACTGCGGTTTCTAAATTCAACAGAAAGAAAGCCAACTAGTCTGAAGCTCAGAACGACACTCACACGGTTTCATTGTTACATAGACTGATTTCGGACCACCAAGACGCGCATCCATGTACATCCTTCCTAACTGGCTGAGAAACTCCTCATTGCTAAGGAGAGTCATAACAGCTCCTAAATCAAAACAAGAAGGACCTTAAAGGATCGAGGGTGGTAAAAGGATAGTAAGAAATCTTTCCTTGTTTACGAAATCGAAGTTCACTATGAATAAAAGGAGACAATGAAAATGCAAAACGAATCTTGCACCACGGGAATATCCGTATAGTTACGTAAACTGTGGCCTATTGACGTAATATTGCACATTTTAATGCCCGTTGAGGTTAACAATGAAATAATAAGACTTTGAGATTCTCATGCCATATGATGCTGATTCAGGGACTTTCTAGCTGTTTCTTATTAATATTATGTGGATGTAAGTAATAAAAGCGATAACTCGTTAGGAGTTGTTTCGTATGTGCTCTCAGGAAAACATGTGAGGTTGTGTAAAGACGAGTAGATGAGCTGCGAAGCACAGAATAGTTTACGGGTTTTTAACAGTTCTCAGGATCGACTTTCTGTTAACGTCGGCATTGGATTATAAGTATTCCTTTTTCTCTTCTTCCTCTTCTTCTGAAGAAGGCGATGCTGCCGAAACGCCATCTACCGTTGTATTGTATGTCTTTTGTACGGAGATAAACATGCCCTGTATAACGACCTTGCGTTTGTTGAACAGGAAAACGACAAAGTTATGGGTTTTGTTATGTCGACAGCTTTGACATCTATGCTTCTTGGACTGAATGGTTAGTAAAGAAATGAAATAACAGCTCTCGTTTGCACCACAAGAATACGAAGAATTGTTCAATCATTGTCGAGTTTGATTGGTAGTCGGTCGTGGGAGTAATTAGTCATAGGCAAGCATAGCTAATCACCCATCTCTCATCATGTTACATGAGGTTTCCAGTCCTTGTAGAGATTGTAGCTTGACTAGGCTGGCTCTTTGTGGTGGTAGTGTGTGTTCCTATCATCTCAGCAGAGAATCCTTTTGTTTAGACGGTTATTGATGTAATTGTAGACCCATTTTCCTCCAACCTTTGGATAAGTGACCAGTGCACCTTGTTTCACTGCTACGATAAAAACACGTATAAGCCTTTGAAGTGGGGCATGTGTAGCGCAGTGGTCGGAAGCGCGCTGCAATACACATGGGATAGCTCCGCGCCGCTGGTTCACCAAGCCTTTCTTGCCTCTGGCTCGACAAATTGGTACCAGACCTGTCTGGGAGGATAGAGAGCTCCATCCTCTATACCTTTGAAGATGAACCTTATCAGTGGAAAGGAATCGTTAATGTACCAAATGTCTTCCACGATTTCTTCGATCAAAATGTTTTGGACCACATCCTTGAGGGCCATGAGTGCATAATTTGGATTTAATCTTCTAAGCATCGTTTATCTGCTCTCGATGATCTATTTGTGGTAGCTTTAGCCAATACTATCCTTACCTGATTATTTTACTCGAGCTTCTCACCTTTTCTTCATCGTTTTTGACAGTTCTGGCAGAACTTTCATTCTTAAGGTTTACTACAAAACAGTCACTCGGTCAAGAAATACAGCCTGAGATGGAATAATGTAAGTTGGTCTAAACAACAGTATTCTGTTTTCCTTAGTGTACTTTCTCCTCTGAATTGTAGGTATCAGTTGAGCCCACTATCAGCAAAGCCGGATGTCCGAGCGAGTCGAAGTCAACATGGTCCATTACAGAACAAAATCGCAAAACTCGTCGAAAAGGTTCGTTCCCGAAGTGAAAATTTTCTTTTTAACTAGTTTTTTTTCGCGATTTCAATAGTTTTAAGGGCAATGATGCTGAGATATTTGCAAAGCTCCGGATCTCCGGTGTCTGTGGTGTGGACCGAGCATGTTATTACCCTTTCGGTGGGCTAACACGTTCACCACTGCACCATGCGAGTCCTTCGTTTCGCTTTTCTCTCAGCCGTGCTATTGACCTATAGATGCTATTAGCAATCACTCATCAAACATTAAGAGTTATACAACCACAGGATTGCTGAGTTATTTACAAAACTCCGCAGGTGCCTGCGGTAGGGAACGAACGCGCTGTTGTCCTTTCCGGGGAGTAACGCGTTCACCACCACACCATACGGGTCCTTCGTTTCGCTTGTCTCTCAGCTAGTTCTATCGATCGTTTGCCACAGCAATCACCCGTCAGCGGGATTGATCTGTTGAGCCCACATCAGCATTGAACCCAGTTAAGCTGAGGCTGTAGTTGAATTCACAATACTTTACTTTTTATTTTCTGCCTTCTATAAATTTTACGGCAGGTTATTAAGCGAAATATTACAACAAGATTGCTGAAATATTTGGAAAACTCCGGACTGGGCTCTCCAGATCAATCCCGTTGGCGGGTGATTGCTGACGGAACTGATCAATAGAGCTAGCCGAGATATAGGCGAAACGCAGGACCCGCATGGTGTGGTAGTGAACGCGTTACTCCCGGGAAAGGACAATAACGCGTTCGTTCCCCAGCACAGCCACCTGCGGTCCAGAGTTTTCCAAATATCTCAGCAATCTTGTCGTTGTGTTTCGCTTAATGACCTGCCATAAAAATTATAGAAGGCAACAAATAAGAAGTAAAGTATTAAGAGTTATATTTGAAATCTCCAACGAATTCTACTGTTTTAAGCTATCAAATGAGCGAGAAATTGTCGATTTGGCTCATCCAGTGGGTAGAATGTTGTTCAATTCTATGGATGCGTTCTTTTCTTACGGGTATGTTTCCGCGCTGCGGTTTTTTCGGAATTAGCTTTCTTTTCAAGGTAGGTAATTGTGGTTTCAAGGTTATTACTTGGAGAAAGAGTATATTGGCGATTTGTGAGAGAGTTCCTTCCGAAAACACAGCAAGAACTGTTACGTGCCGAATGGGGAGACGTCGACAATCGTCGACTATCAATCGCGTGGCTCAAAGATGCGTTCAACAAAAGCACACTCCATTTTCAGATGCTTTCCTTTAGGAATAATCGGTGAGTTGAATAATGAAGGAAATAGTAAGATGACCTGTGTTGTGTTGCCCACTTTTTAGGTCTTTCCAAAATAAATGTCCAATTTGTGACTTTATTTTTCTTGTATACGTTTTAGCAATATTTTTTCCTTCCAGTACAGTACTACTTTGTATCGTTGCAAACTGATTTTATGCAGTACTGTGTGAACTTGTATTGTAATAAAAATCATGTTCTTAAGGAATTTTAAGGGATGGAATTTGAGATGTCGAAGGGGCAAATTTCGACGGATTTGCTTTTACGAATTCAAACTCGGAATTAATGGGAAGTAATGCAGCCAGACGCTTGGAAGCGTTAGTGAAGAATAAGATAAAGCTTTTGGCGTTGATCAATCCCTGAGGGTTGCGCCGTGCAATCGACTTTATCAAACGTCGCTAGAAGTGATTGAATGCATGTCTAGCCTATATGATCGCACCAATGTGTATGCAGACTTCTAGCCATTGCACTGCATGCGCTCCTCAAGAGTCTCAATACGTTTTGGAATATTTAAACAAGTTAATAAATCTAGGAGACTTGACAAACGGACGCGGAATGAATTGAACAACTACCAAAGAAGTCACCGTTCCTTAAGTATCTTCAGTGTTTCTTCTTTGCGATCAGAACATTCCGTTTCTTGACCGTATTATGAGGTAGCACGACACATGGGTCCTTTACGATAAACGCAAATAATCGACGGAACGGTTGGACAGCGATGAAGCTCTGCACCACTTTTAAAACTGAAATTTCACCAATTGAAGACCATTCTGAGTGTTTGGTGGTCAACAACTGATCTAATCCATTACACTTTACTGAATCCGGTTGAAGCGATTGCGGCGTAAGAGCACCTTCAGCAACTCGACACGTCCCACCTTTGATGTTGGAAAAGTTTGATAAGATCTGAGCTATTGAACTTTGTCTCATCCACCAAAGCTTGCTATACATTTCGCCTACCTGGATAGTTTACTGTATGAGGAACGCTTAAGAAGCCAAGCCGATGTCGAAACTGCCTTCTGTGATTTCATTGCTCCAGAAGACGAGAATTTTTAGTAGGTATAAGTGGACTTATTTCTTGCAGAAAAAAGTCTTTAGTTTTGGTTTCAGTTGTTTTTATTCCAACTAGTAAAGCTTGTTTTAAGCTGAGATACACCATCTTAGGTTGAAATCGGACATTAATTTCGAAAAGACGTAATACATCTTTAGTTCGTGCTTCATTTTATCCTTAACATTATTGGCAAAGGAGGTAAAACTTGTATTTTCTTGAAAGCAAATTGAGCCTGAACGACTTATGAATCCAACAAGAGACCCGAATTCAGTCGGTTATGATAACCAACTCACCTCTTCTTTGACCTCTTGGTCTCTTACGTTCATCTTTTTGTCATTTTAACGTTTTTGGTACTTCTAAGATGAACTTTGCTGTAGGTTATCCATATCCTCCGCTTTTCCTTAATTTTACTTATTTGTTTACTACTCTGTTGATGGGATGCGTGTAGCGCAGTGGTCGGAAGCGCCCTGCAGCACACGGGATCGATTCCCACACCCTGGTCCACCAAGCCTTCTATCCTTCTGGGGTCGGAAAATTGATACCAGACCTGTCTAGGAGGATACCAGCACTGACTGGATACATCGATGAGCCGGAGCGAGTCATTGTAAAGGCCATCCACTCACCCCCAGTGATACTACGAATGGGGTCGGTTGCATGGTGCATTTTTCATAGGTTGATCAACCCCAAGAGCTCTTTTTATCTTTTGCTTTTTAAGTATAGAAAGCAACATCAGCTTCACTGGTACACAACTACATAACAATACCACACTACTTTTTCGTGAGGGAATTCTTTGCAATCAGTAAAAGTGGTGACCTTGATTTTATCATTGGCCTCTCTCATTCCATTAATTCCTTCTAATATTGCCAAAGCATTTGAATTCTTTACAGGTGTTACTTTTTGATCAAAATGTTCATCTAATCTGAGAGAGCATTTAGATGCGTACTTATTGCCAGGTCAACTACCAGCACCTTTCTCCAAACGAGTCACCCCTGATTACCGTATTGTGTTGCTTCTTTAGGAACGTTATTTCGCGGTTCTACCATCGGAATGCGTGCATGTGTAATGGTGGCATGTTAGAAGCGGTTACTGAGATGATCGGCAGTTTAACGAATGTACAGTTTGCATTTTATGTGAGTTACCAAACTCTGATTTCATTGTTAGTAGATTTTTATGCTTTAAGAAATTTATTCTGGTAAAATACGTGCCATTAGTCATTTTTTAAACTTCTTTCAAGGATGTCAGTTGTTTTTAAATCAAGGATGTCAGCCTAGGTAATACAAAAGCTGTATGAAGTACCACTAGATAGCAAATAAGGAGTTACAGGCAAAGCAAAAGCCACCAACATCTCCAGTAAAAGGGAGTATTCACTAGGAAATATAAGTGATAGGCATTTTGGGTCCACCTATAGCAAATAAGCTTTGTATCTGCTCCAATCAATCCGTATAACAAATGGGCCTCACACCTGCTCCAGCAGAACCCGGTAAGATATCCACGAGTATACCAGCTACCTAGAGATTTGCCATTTCATGCATCTATGCTAAAGTACCTTCCAACGGTTTACCGCCTCATCGTGGCTGGGAGGTGTTCCTGGGTGTCGGACTGTGATGTGCAGCGGGTGGATTCGTTCCCCTAGCAGCGTCTCCCAAGCTAATAAGGAGTCCGGCGTTTCCATCAGAAAGCCTATCTAAGAGTAAACCAATACCAGGACCCACCACCGTCCTGGTATCAAAGTCGCATGGTGGCAAATCTCACTCTAATCCACAAGGGCTGAGACCGCCTGTCGTGGTGACGACCTAAGGCAGACTTTGGCCAGACTGTCCTCAGAATTCCAGAGAACCACAATGGCTTAGCAATCAAATCTCCGAAAAATGGCGATGATATCGGGCCCGCACAACTGGCGGGGGCGGACCGTTCAAGTATCAAGTATGCTAAAATAAATGAACCTTTCAATTCAAAGAGTCATTTCGTAGTCCTTTGTAAGGTTCATTGATTGAAGAGAACACCTTTTAAATCTTCATGTTGCATTGTCAGCGAGATATAAGCTACGTATTCTGTTTATATATGTAGTGAAGTTATGATTTTCTGGAGTGTGATTTTCGGCAAATTGTTATCAGACTTGTCTGGGAGGATAGCGGCACTGGCCTCATATATCGGTACACCCCGAGTAACTGTAAAGGCCAGATATGCATTAAATCGCTTCCAGCAATGCTTAATGAAGTCGAATGTATGGCGCATCCCTCATGGTTTGATCAACACCAAGATCTTTATCCTTTATACAGATGAATCTTGACGGAGAATGTGTTAAAATTGAAACATAAAGTTATTTTCTATCAAGTATGTTTCATATTATGGACAAGGAGTTAAAGGATCACGTGTAATGGTGGTTATAGCAGACTCATTGTGTTATCCACATTTCAGTCAACGTTGAACCTTCGTGTTGAACCAACGCAAGCGGTTGTGGTAGAGCCACCAGTCACTCCAATCGTGATGGAGCGCGCGAGAAGGAGAAAGAGAGCCGTAAGTTTTGCTGTGGGAAGGTTCGTTAAGGAAGCTGTCTTTCTCAAATAAACAGAACTTTCTTATTTTGTATATCATCTATAACGAAAGCGTATCCATTTGTAAGTACAGGAGAGCGATCACAGTCAGCCTACTGTCCTGAATGAAACACCGCCTGTTGCTGCACACACTCTCGCATTACCTTCACAACTTGACCAGGTTGGAGATTTTTTATCCAATCTCAATATTTATTCTTATTATATCTGAGCATCTTTTTGCAATAGTGATTACTGGACTCGATCATTTGCACATTCATGGCTTCTGTAAGTTTCTGTAGAAATTGTAATTCCAGTATAGTTTTGTGTTAGGAAGTGATACTCGAAGAACTTGTGAGGAAGCGAGAAAACAGAGTACATTGTTGTGAAGATTGTGCAACCACTGAGAAGGTAGGTTTTTTTTAACATGTCTAACAAAACTGTATAAGGATTGCTTGGATATTTGGATACTTGGACGGCCCGTCCTCACTGGTTGTGTGGGCCCAGTATATTCTCCATTTTCGGAGTTTTGCTGGTTTAGCCACTGTGTTCTCCTGGAGTCCTGAGGTCAGTCTAGCCAAAGTCTGCCACTGGTCGTTACCACCAAAGGCAGCCGTTGCTTTTGCGGATCAGAGGGGAATTTACCACTATGCGACTTTGATACCAGGACGGTGGTGAATCCTGGTACTGGTTTACTCTTAGCTAGGCTTCCTGACGGAAACGCCGGACTGGTCAGCATGGGAGACACTGCGGTGCGATGAATACCTCCGCTGTACATCGCGGCCCGACATCCAGGAACACCTCGTAGCCACTATGAGGCGGTAGTCCGTTGGGAGGGTATAAGGTTTAGTACTTATAATTAAATTTATGCGATAGATTATTGTTCTATATAACCAGGGAAAGGACACTGGAATGGATAAAAGTGGAAACTCATCTGATCCGCTTGTTAGGAGCGAAGGTTTTGATGAGGTAAAGTTGTTCGACGAAACGTGATTAACATAGTCTATCTGTGATGATAGGTTTTTTTTGTAGTTTATCTCTATTTCAAAAGACCAGATATGAAAACGTCAGGTCCTGCGTAAAACTATATCGAAAGTCCAAATAGAGAGTGATGTAGTCCAACCAATGTCATTTGACAGTCTTCTTCAGTATGACGATTTACAACAGGATAGGTATAACGAAGAGGACGTACTGGTTGAGGGGGAAGTACTGTGAGTCTCACTACAATAATTTAAAAACTGTTTCTGACGTATAGAAATTCTCCTGTATGGAAACACACTCAGGTTAGATTCTGGTGACATATTAAATCTGGCTATGAATGTTTATGTTGATGAAGGTGAACGGTTGTTGCGAATGTTTTATGTGTATCAAAGGTTTGCTGCTGGAATGCCATTGGCAAGGTATGGAATGACTTGGTCTGATATTTCTATTCTGTCAGACCTCCTACATTGAAATTTCGTTCAAGGTTTCTTGCCATCACCGATCACAACATCTACATTGTAGCGCAGAACGTGGTTCTGGATGAGTCCGTGCAGCAAGGCGTGTTTGAAGAGGGTGGCAATCGTAACGTGTTATATGAAGCCCATGTTATTATTCCATTGTCGACACTTGATTATATAGCGGTATGGGAACGACGTTCTTTAAGAGAGTCGTTCGAAACAAAGAAAAGAACCAAATTTATGAGTTAAATTGCTTATTTAGTGCTTCTTTCGTTGAGTTCTTATTTAATTTTCGTTTTGTAGGTTTCCACAGACTCACAAGTGCTCGTGCTTTATGCAAAAAGTGGAATGTTTTTTCGAACAATTAATGAGACAAATGGGAACAAAGATAAGACCTGTGCCATTGCAACTGGTGATCTTCAATTAGGAAACGCCATCGTAAAAGCTATTACGACGGTATGTTGCTGTGAATTCATTAAATCTCCCATTCTTCCTTAGCCATTGTTTGTATAGAGATGAGCGTTCTGATCATGGATAGGTGGAATTAATTTTACATACTTGCATTTGCACTCTTCTGTTGCCACATAGTTTAGATTGCTCAATATGTAAAGAGAAAAATCTTTCCTCTGATTTCTCACGGGCCGGCAGCAAAGTAACACGTGTCTAAATTATTGAGCTTACACGAAGTTGTTACTAATATGGTTTATTTGGCTAACGTTTCGACATCTTCGTCTTCATCAGAGCTGGTGATCCAATTCGGTGGTCCATAGTTGTGAAAAAGAAGACGGAACGTTAGCCGAATGAGCCATATTATCAACCTCATGTGAGCTCCGCAATTTAAACACATCTTATTCTTGGCTTTCATCATCTATTGAAATAACAATCGTAGTCTACGCTTAGCTATTTAAACTAAAGTTCGTAGACCTCTGTGAGCGGAAATCGAGAACCTCCTGCGGTATTCACGGACAGTACACCTTATTGCTTGATGATCAAGCGATATCTGGCAAAGGAACTGAATGGATCAGTGAGTGTTTTAACAACAAATTTATGTTCACCTTTTGTTTAGTATTTGATGAAATCTCTTAGCCTCATATTGAATTGTGCCATTTTTCTCTCGTCTACTGGAGAGAGTCTTCGGCTACGCTACAAAAGCAGAGTGCTGAGAATGTTGGATATCTTTATAGAAGGTCGGCTCTACGTCAATATTGAACGTGTTTGTTAAATATCACTTCTATTTGGACTAAATTTTAAAGATGCTTCCTATATTTCTAGAATGGTATTTCCAAATTGGTGGAGAAGACCTCAGGCCGAGTGGATTCAAAGTTATTTTGTATTAATGTAAGGAGCGGCAAACAGTCACTGAATTGTCAATCCTATATTTAGTTTATACGAGCTTTTCATTCTTATTTTTTCAAGAGGTTCGAAGATATATGTATTCGCAGATTCAACTTGTAAGGAAGGAGAAATGGTCATAAATTTATGGTAGGTTGAGAAAGGTCAAGTGTACCGTGAATAAGTGGCTTTCCGATTATAATTCTTTTTTAATTAAGTAATTGCTCTGAAACACATGAACTGGATTTGAGAAACGATTGTCAGTGGGGATTCGAATTGGTTTTACCGGACGGTACTCTTCAACTTCAATGCCCGAGTAAAGATGAAATGAACAAGTGGATAAATTTAGTAAATTTGGCGATGAACTCGCAGGTGTCCAATTAAGCTGTTTTGTAGTTACGTGCAATTTCTCCGAATACATAATACTGGACCTTCTTATAGTACTTTGTCTAGAATGACGATGATGCAGCTGCATGTATGGTGATGATAACCAACACCGATCTCGTTGTCGCTCAAGAAGGCGAAAAATGTTTCACGGACGGATTTATTCGCACTCTGGTGGTATGTCCTCCGCTTTGATAATAGCGTATGTTTAATCCGAAAGCTCATCTTTAAGTTAGCGTGAACACTGATAATCGAGTTGTTTTGTTCTTACAAACTGCCCTTGATGAGGTGTTAACAACGCTTATTATCGTAGTGATACTGAGGTATTTGTAAAACTCCGCACCGTTTGTGTCTGCAGTGGAGACCGAATACGCTCTAATTCATTCTGGGGCCTAACGCGTTCACTACTACACAATTCGAGTCCTTCCTTTCTCCTTTCTGTCAGCCTTGTTATTGATGTATAGGTCCGTCAATGCATCAGTAATCGACCTCCAATTAGCTCGTCGAGAACGGTTGGTGAGATTAGGGTTGCTTGGTTTATGTTTATTTCTACTAAGGTGTACGTAACATACCGCTAAATCATATCCGCGGGTAACAGTTTCACACTCTTTCTTAGATGTTTTAGCACTCGTGTCATTTTTTTTCGTATTCAATATCTGTCTGCTCTGAAAGCATGTTTTTTCTTAACTACTTTTTTTTGCTTTTGATAATTAGCTATAACAAGCTTTTACAACAGAGCGTGAACGCTTTCAGTCATTCCCTCTGCCTGATATTCGGTCAGGTTGGATCGTGCATGCCGAATCACATGAAACTCTTGTACTTCGTGTAGATGCCATGTATCAGTGGTTCATTTTCCGATCTCCGGATGAATTGTCTCGTATGGTGAAAACGTTGTCTGAGTATCCAATCCCGTTGTTGGAGATCAACCACGACAACAAGGTTTGTCAACAACCAGAAGAGCAACTCGACGATCCTGCTTTGCGGATTGCTTTTTCTAATTTCAGGATATAGTACCTGCTTACATTCTCAACCACTGTCGTAAAATGCCAAATTTTTGGCACAAAGTCGTACTTGCAACAGAAGGATTAGATTCTGAACCCTAAGTAATTGTTCTAGATCCTGAATCATATATAAATGGAGTTTTATTCCTTATAACTTCATATTTGATTGACTATGTGAATGTTTTTCGTCCTTTACGTGTTCTACTTGTTATTTAATAGCTGTGTCAATCTAATTGTTCGGAATTTTTGTCCTCGTAGATTATATGCGAATAAGGTTTGTAGCTTTATAGCTAACTGCTTTGTTTAAGCCTCTAAGAAACTTTTTTTTGGTTCCCATGTGAAATTGCTGGTCTTGTAAAGTATCGAATATTCTATCCTTGACTTGATGATCTTTGTCGACCTGCTTTCGACAGTATAGGTTATTTTGTTATGAATATTTTGGTAGCTAATCGACATAGCTAAAATTTCAGATCACCTCCCTGTTTAATCGACGATCGGTGAGATACCTCGTTGAGCTTCAATAGACGTGCATCGAACATCATCTTAGTTTCTCATGTCTTCTTCTGTTTGAATTTTTTGTGAAATCTGAATAATTCCTTCCATTGATGCACGCACCTCGACATCGAGCGAAAGTTTCATATGACAAAGGACGGTGTGTTCCTGTTGGTTGGAAACCGCTTGTTGTCGATCCTCGTGTACGAAGTTACATCTATGCCAGAGCAAAACGGACGTGCTTAGAAGCTAGAGATCGTAAGAATTCACATTTTATTTTGTAGTTTAGAAGTACATGAAGCATCAATCCAAAGTTTTTTGAGCTGTTCCCATTACAGTACCTAATGATGACTTATCTCCTCATTATAAGGAAAAGGTAAAACTCGGCGTTGATCAATCCCTGAGCGATGTACTATGCATTCGACTTCATTAAGCATTGTTGGAGGTGATTGAATGCATATTTGGCCCTTACAATGACTCGCGGTGCTCTACCGATGTATCGAGCCAGTGCTACTATCTTCCTAGACAAGTCAATTACCAATTTGCCGACCCCTGAAAGATGGAGGGATCAGTGAGCCTGGGACGCATGAATCGATCCCATATGTATTGCAGGGCGCCCCGACCACTTCACTACACTCGCTTCCTATCGTCTCATTATAGCTAGGTTTCAATACAGCGTTGAACCGCAATATATTTATCACCAGGTAGTTTCTTTCAAACTGGAAGAAAAAAACAATTCTCATTGCCAGCCATGGTCAAAGTAAACCTCTGCAACCACAAAGTCTAAAGAAGCATTGTGGCTACCATCTCGCTAAAGATGATGAAAACAAATGTTATCATACCAAAAATTTGTTGAAGGTTTCGTGTCTCTTGACCTTAGTAAGCCGGCGATTTACTGGATAATTGATGGGTTTATTGCTGATTTAAGTTGTTTGGGAGTCTTGCATCATCATCTTATTTTTTTATTACTGAATTCTAGTGGACGTAAGCCGGAAATTTCTTCAGGAGAAGCACAACGTCGGGCTGCTGAGGAACGACAACGTGAACGGCAACAGATGCGTGAACGAGTTGATGAGGATTTGGAAGCTTGTGAAGCTGAGGTATTAAGTAGAAACATTTCTTCACAGCATTGGTTGTTGCGAAAGTATTTCTAGCGTCTGTTTTATTACCTCGCTTGTTTTTGTGGTCTCTACCAATTTAAACATGACTGTTACTTGACGCACTGACGACATTGCTTGTTTTTCGGGGTTCGGTTTACTTGCATTTATACTTTCATTTTTCATGATTTCAAGAATAATAAGTAAGCAATCCAAAAGCAGTGCATGTAAGTGTATTCACACTGAATTAGTTGGACCCCCGTTATTTACTGAATGGCCCTAACTGGTAGCCTACTTATTTGGTTGCTTGGATGGCCCGTGTTCGCAAGTAGTACGGATACCAGCACATTTGCTGTTGGTTTTTTCCATCGCAGTAGTCTTCCATTGTGGTAGTTTGTTTCGAACATGGTGGCGGGTGCGAATCGCATACCGTGATTTATTAAACAACTGAAGATGAGAGTACAACTAGTCGATCGTCCGCATATCGCGTAGATCTTCTCTAGGGGACGCCTCCATCATTATCCAGTCCGCTCTACAGTTCTTTTTGTCCGTCTATGGCTTGCTCTTCTCATTATGTAAACCACACACCTATGTTTCGCTAGCGTTGTGTGTGGTGTGTTCTCGACTATTAAAACAAAACTGCGCATTCTGACTAGATGTTGTGTGTGCCACTTATATTTCAGAAGACATCGTTCAAAAGCTATTTGAGTAGTGCGTACTATTGTTGATGTGGTTGAAGTATCAACCCACGTTCTCTTGAATAAAATAAAATTTTGAGGAGACTGTCGAATCGAAAGAGTGAGCACGGATTTTTGCATGCTTTATTTGGTCATTGACTTCTTTGAGAGGTTCAATTGCAGCTTGTGTTGCACTCCTTCTGTCTGTTTCCTCCTTTGCATTGTTCTCCATGCTCGTTGAACGTCTAAGGTACATGTGCGAGATCGTCTCTACAATCGGAGAATCATCCAGTTCGGTCTATGTGCCTGCGTACCACGAGTTTTTCATCAACTGAGTCATCTGATTTATGTTTAGTTTTGTTTTTCCTGTCTTCCTAAGTTCATTGACTATCATTTCTGTTTCGCTAGCATATCTTGAAAAAATGGTAAGCAAAACGAAGATTTGATAGGAATTTTCCGTTAATATCTATGTCCTTCTTGCCCCAATCTTATTTATTTCACTAACCACTGCGATTTCGGCTCAGGTTGAAATTGAGTCTTCAATCCTCCCAACGGTTTACCTCATCATCATGGGTGGGAGGTGTTTTTGGGTGTCGGACTGCGATGTACAGTAGGCGGATTCGTCCCTCTGGCAAGGTCTCCGAAGCTGAGAAAGAGTCTGCCGTTTTCATCAGGAAGCCTAGCTAAGAGTAAACCAACACCAAGATCCACCACCACTCTAGTGTCAAAGTCGCATGGTGGCAAATCTCCCCCTGGTTCACAACGGCTGCGACTGGCTGTGGTGGTGAAGACCTGGGGCAGACTTTGGCCAGGCTGTCCTCGGGATTCCAGGGAACCACAATGGCTTAACTAGTAAATCTCTGAAAAGTGGTGATTATGCCGGGGTCCGCACAACTATTGAGGACGGGCCGTTCAAGTATCAAGTAACAACTGCAGTGTGGCAGGAAATTGCTTCGGCAATATGGTGTTGCCTTGTCGATTCTCTTTTTCCATGATTAAGGTAAGGAGTAAGGAATTGGTGTATTTTCTTGGTGCAGTTCCGATAACACTCAGATAGAGTTCATATGTAGGACGGGATCAGTTCTTGGTCGATGAGCACTGATAGGATTTCATTCGTTTCGATGCTGTCAAAGGCTTCCTGTTATTCGATGAAGGTTAGAACAAAGGATAAGTGGTATTGATGACGAACGTCTGTGACCTAATATATGGGCTGAATGTGGTCCATGCAGGAAAATACCTGTAGAAATCCTGCTCGCTCAAATGATTATACCTCGTCCAAAGTTCTTGGTATGCGTGACAGGATAATCTTCGTGAAGTGCTTATAGGGTGCATTCAACAAGCGAACCGGACGATAGTAATGAAAATCTCCTTGGTTAACCTTCCTGAGCATGATGACCGTGCGAGACATCCTCCACTGGTCTGAGGTTTTTTCTTTTGAACATTAAATGTTATATGGCACACGAGAATTGTATACAGATTGTGGCTTTCAGCTCTAAGAAAATCGGAGATAATGTTATTGGATACTGGAGCTGTGCCTTTCATGCTTTCCATCGCAACTCGAATCCTAGGGGTAAGAATTCCGGGTGGTTTTCCTGCAGCGCGGATTTTTGAGTCCACTACGAGGGTTGTAGGACGGAAAACGTTAGTGCAGAAATTTCTTTTTATCAATCGGATATCATGACAGGAAGTCTTAGCAGTACCGTTTTCGTTCCTAAAGGCTGACAGCGGAACAATGTGCTCGCACAACTCTCAACAGCAGTTTTTCAAAAGCTGTTCTGCAATTGGCATTTATTACTAGCCGTGTTAATTGTGTTGCAAGTAGGATCAGGCTTCAGTCTCCTCTTATCGATCAACTGCTTAGTGGTAATGGAGATGCGATCTGATCTTCCTGCTTGAAGAATTGTGGCGAATTTGGCAAAACTTTAAGTTCTTCGACAAGCAGCTCGTAATCTTCGGTTGGGTCCTCTTTAGTCTGCCAATCACATTTCGATAGTGTTTCGCTCAGAATGTTCTGGTCATATACAGCTGGACTTTCTCTTCTTGGTAGAGAACATGAATTCTTTTACAGATTGCGGCTGAATCGAGTCTGCAAGGATGCTGTGATCGAACCCGATGTGGAATGATGGAACACTAATGTGTCAAGCAGGAATCGTCTTCTGCTCGTGGGAATATGGTCATTCACCGCATAAATCGTGCCTTTAGGAGAATCCCATGTCGTGCAGCGGAAAAACGAGTTTCCCTGGAACAGGCGTATCGCAGACAAGAGTGCTGTGAGATAGTTTCCATTCTCATCTCGTTCTTCTAATCTAAATTTTTTGATCCTGCATTCGCTTACGTTGGCCTTTCCTATTCTGGTGATGAAATCTCTTATGAAGCGTTTGTGGATGACAGAAGACTGCCATGCGAGTGGAAAGGATCCGGTAAGTCAACAGCATAGGCAATGGATGGGTGGACGACAAAGCATTCGCCACTGACATTTCGTTACAGGACACTTTTTCAAGCGGATGACAAGAATCCTGTTGTTCAGTTGAACTATGTTAGCCTTCTTGCTTTTTTTTTCTTGGGTGATCACATGAAATTTGATGCGATCTGCGGCTTCAAGAAGATCGTAGAGGTCGATATCTGAGGGGAGAGTTCCGGTACTATATGTGAAGAGTAGGAAAACAATCTCCATGGCGTGTCGTGTGTGCTTTAGATCCGGTTCTAGTGACGTCCTGCATAATCCGGAATTTTGTGGGCTTTCACCGGTTGCTTCACCGCCCCATGTCATAGAGGGGAGCACCCAATGTATGGGGTACTGAGCCTGGCCTATTGCTGGCTGCGCAATTTGACCTTTCCAGGAGTACTAACTTAACCTTGCAAGTTCGTTTCCAGATCTTCTCCGCGGTGTGAATCTGAGGCAATTTTTATTTTGGAACCGATTCCTCCACTCGTCCATCTAGTTGATTCAAACGCGATATTAAACCGATTAAGCGTCTTAAATTAAAGCGGATTGGTCTGACCGCTGAAGGATGATACAGAAACCGAACTTAGTAGGTAGCAGTAATTTTAGTATCACTCCATCGCTCATCACGGTCACTCAACGGGCTTTCGTCGCTCAACCGTCAGGAATAGTACCATACACGTGACATACTGTCTTCTTGCTAACCATGTTTGAATAGCCATAATTTGCTAATCAAAAGTAGTATTTTCAGTCAAAGTGAGTACTATTAGTTGAGCAAATTTTTAAGCGTCGTTTACTTCCTGAGTTTTTTTTTTCCTTAGGAACGGAAAGTCTTAGGTTTGAAGGCATGTTAGAATGAATTTCTGATGTTTTGTAATATTTCGAATACTCAGTCCTTAAAAAAATAACCAAGGTTATTTTTAAAGTAGATTTCTGCTGGGACTAGATAAGCAGAGTTTAGAAGTGGAGATTGATTTCTATGCTTCCAGTCGTTCGTTTCTGGATGAAGTAGCGCAAAACACGTGACTATTTTGTCATATAATAGTACGCGAGCCTTATGATTAAGCAGTTATAAGTGGATCTACCTTTGTCATATTCTATTGCATTCGTGCTGACTGTGTTAGAATGTTTCTACTGCATTAATATCACCAGATTTAAAAAAAGGATTGCTATCGCCGTCAATGACAAAACAATGACGCAGACTCCTGCTGCCCGGAATTTTGCAAATATCCCGACATCCTTTCGGTTGTATCCCACGTAATTCCCTGCTTTGAAAAATTGTAGCAGACAGTGAATAAAAAAGCTAACATAATGACAGTGGTGTTTTATTTTGATCTTTGGTTTAGCACATATTCACTGATTTACCAGATAACCGTTATTCCAACTTTTTAGTAAATTGCCTGTTCGCGTGTTTAGTCGATTCCAGATCTGAGTAGTTTGACATTTCACAGTATCTATATACGAACTGAAGAGCAGAATACTTTGAAATTCCTTACTTTGCTATTTTTTCTTCACTGATTTAATGGCCTCTGCCCGCATAAGCTCGAACCCTGCTCGATGTGAAAGTTTTGAAAGCGGATCCACTAGTGCTTTTAATTAATTTGATCATATCAATATGCGCACTAAAGAGCAAATCACTGCTGTTATGATAACATACGAACCCAGTTCAACGCAACAATAAGTATAGCACCATCGTGGTAGATGGTGCAGCGATGTCCGAGTGGTTAAGGAGATTGACTTGAAATCAATTGGGCTCTGCCCGCGTAGGTTCGAATCCTGCTCGCTGCGAACGTTTTGCAGATTTATTAGTGGTTTTAGTTAGCTTGAACATATGATTATAACATAGTGAAAGGGAGATCCTTTCGTTGTTGAAAATTTATGAAGCCAATTAAACAAAAAATACGTCGTATATTGAGGCACGACACGCGCTAAGTGCAATGTTGTCCGAGTGGTTAAGGTTCCTCTATCATATCCTAATATTTATTGATTAAAAGGTAATCAATTTCGCTAGACGTAGACGCGAGTTAGTACTGTCCTCATTTGGGATACTTTCGATCTTTTTTTTATATGACTGTCACCACCAATACTTTCTTTGGCATGACAAACTCGTCCGAGGAACAGCTGTATACCATTAAGTACAAAGAATAAGTTTTTTTGAGTCAACGTACGGGACATGGACTAGCTATAGATTGGAAAAACTACAGTGAGAAATTTCTTTGTTGCAGAAGAAACGACCAAAAAATGTTAAGTTGATATTAATTCACCCCTTTCGATCTGCCGTCCAACGTATGAATGAAAGTCTACTCACGTCGGAATCGAAATTTAAAGATAGAGAAGGATGAAGCTCTTGGCATTGATCAATCCCTGAGGGGTGCGCCATGCATTCGATTTCATTAAGCATCAGTTGAAGTGATTGAATAGATATATGGCCTTCACAATGACTCACGGTGGCCTGCCGATTCCGATATTGCTATCCTTCCAGATATGTCTAATACCAGTTTTCTAACCCTAGAGTGATGAAAAATTTGGTGACCCATGCAGTGTGGGATCGAACGCATTTATAAAACAGGGCCTCTCCAGTCGCTGTGCTACGCTAAATTTAAAAGGTCTAGGAGTGCGACAATTTGCTATATGATTTTAATGAGACTCTTTTTTTGTAAAAATCATGAGAAATTCCACTTAGAGATTATAAATTATTGTAACTCATCACAGCAATCATATGTGAAATATGTCATTGTGTGTTTAAAATGACTAGCGACACTACATGAAACGATGTCTGCTGCAATGTTGTAGCTGCTTGCTGTGATAAAAGTGAGTCCAAAGAACGTTACTAAGAAAAACCCCGCTTCGGGATTGACAGTAGGAAAAATTTGGCCAATCGGTAAGATGTCAGTGAAATAGAAATCGCTCTTTACCAACACGATTGTCGAAGTAAGTAAATAACTCAATATAGTGAGTGATTCTAAAGTGCACATTTGAGTCTTTCCTTTCTCAGATTTCTTTCTCCTCATTTCACCAACATTTCGCCTCCTTAACTGCTTTTTTCTGGGTCTAAGTGGTATTCCATCTCATAGTGGCTGTATACTGTTTCTGTTACGTTACTGTTACAACTGTAGTTTTCTTATTCTTAGAAATGGTCATGCATGATGAGAAAGGTTCAGTTACGTTTCGGAACTAAAAGTTTAATTCTGTTGGAGCATGTATCGGTAAGTACTTGTGAACAAAATCACAGTCAGTAGTCTTAATGGAGAATTAGCCAAAATCGTCCACAATCTGCAAGAGCCCTTAAGCACTATGTATAAATACTGCTTAAAAGCTGAGACTGAAGACAGATCTAGCTGTGAGAAACGCGAAACGAATGATCTGTATTTTTGTGGTGGTTAACGCGTTAACTCTGGGAGAGGGTAATATAGCATTCGGTCCCCACCGCAGACACCTGCGGTCCGGACTTTTGCAAGCATCTCAAAATCATTGTGGTTGTTTCACACATAATACCCTGCCGTGAAAAATTATAATAGGTAGCAAGTAAAAAGTTACGACAGGAGATATTTAAGTATTTAAGTGTAGTCTCTCATCTCCAGTTTTAACGTAATACTTCGCATTCGTTTTATTTAACAAACTTTGCAGTTGGAAAGAGTGAAGGCGCGTCGTGATGAATTAGCAGCAGAGAAGCATGAGTGCTTTACAAAACTCAAGGCTTGCTTGCAACGAGAGTCCATGCAGAAAAAAGCTGAAGATGAAAAGAAGCGGAGAGTGGGTTGTCTAGTTTTTCTGCAGTGAAAGTACTGTTGATTTCTGATGTAACAGTGTTCAATTTTAGGAATTAATAACACTTCAAATGCAGCAACCGTTCCTTGCGGCAACAATACAAGCTCAAGCACAGGTCCAAGCCCAGGCACAGGCTAATAGCTTGATTTCCAACCAGCATCTTCTCACACAACAAAATCTTCTGTCACAGCACTTCAACGCACATAGTCTATTGAACCAACAAGCGTTGCTTCAACATCAACAATTGTTGGCAGCTCAAAAACTTCAAGAACTTGCGCAGCAACGTAGTTTGGTGCAACAACAACAGCAACAACAACAACAGAGTACGCCACAAGCAACTGCGCAACAAAGCTTACCAGCAGGGATTTCACCGGCATATTTGCAACAAGCACTTGGACAAGTCCAGGTGAAATCAGTTCACTTTCATCGCTACCAAAAATTTAATGCTGGATTGTTGCAGGGTTTACTACCAGGACCATCTCCTACAGTACCTGGTTTTACAGCAAATACCGCGGTAACTAGGCTAGTTGTTTTTAAACTTCTACATTACTTGTTACCACACCACGCAGTGGATTATATGAGCTGATTTAAACTCGTATTTGGCGGGTAATAATTTCGCTTTCAACTTCAAATGAACATGTCTAAGCTGAAAGTCTATCAATCGGAACAATAATCGGTACAATCTACAGTTCTTTGTCAATAAAGCAAAAGTTTTGTTTCGAAACCAACTTTTCTTGAACCTCGGTATCACCAATCAATATGTATTCCTTTTTTGATGAGTTTACAGGAGGTTGATAATGATGCTTATTTTCGGCTAACGTTTCGACGTCTTCGTCTTCCTCAGAGCCGGTGATCCGAGTCGATGGTCCTCGCTTGTTATTCGTCTCGACGTGGCAGCTTCGCCTTCGTGTCGAGTCAGGTCTTCTTCATTGAGCCATCTCCTCGAATAAGGCATCTTTACTCAGTGATGCCCAGTGATGCCCGAAGACGTCGAAACGTTAGCCGAAAATAAACATCATTATCAACCTCGTGTAAGCTGAGCAAAAGTTTTGGTTTTTATCAACACCAAATTTGCTATGTTATACAACTTTTTTGTCAGAAGTCGTACTTCGAATAGTGAGATGACAGAACAAGTAGGATTTCGTCCAAAAGGTTATAGTATCCTCAACGTATCTTTGATATTTGCTGCTGTGGCTCTTGCGTTTAAAAACCTTGGGGTATAAATTTTTCCTAGGTTTTAATCCCAAAGCGGGATTGCAGTAGCTTTATGTGGTCCGAAGAACATTGTCGTGTTCTTCGCTATTAATCTCTTCACTTTCCTCCTAGTCACTGCTTATGAATAGGGCTCTGTACTGCATGCTTTCTTCTATCTATCGTTCTCTGCATCGTTTTTCCCATGATTTCGTTGTTTTTCGCTGTTTGTTTAATGTTTTGTTTAAATAAGAAAGGCTATGTAATAACGTGCATAGAGCAATGCTTTATCTAGATAAGTCTGTTTGGTTTTCCTGATCTATAAAGGATAAAAAAGCTATCGCCGTCGATTAGTCCCTGTGGGATGCGCTATGAATTCGACTTCATTAAGCATCGTTTGGAGGTGATTGAGTGCATATCTGGTCTTTACAATGACTCGCGGTGGCTCTCTAATGTATCGAGCCAGTGCTGCTATCCTCCCAGATAAGTCTGGTACCAATTTGCCGACCCTGAGGGATGAAAGGCTTGTTGCGCCATGGGCGCGGGGATCGATCCCATGTGTATTGCAACGCACCCCGACCACTGTGCTATGCGTAAAATATGTATAGAGCTTTAATATTTTCTACCATATCAACTAGTTTTATTTTCAGGGGAACACCACCAATTGCAAACCCCTTGGTTTTTGGCCAGTTTGTGGTTGAACCGTCGAAATCTCAAGTCCAGCCAAACACCTCACAGGCACAACAATCACATGTGAAGCTAGAGGTTCCTAGTCGGCAAGTCTCGCCATCACCACAAACACTGAACCAACAAGCGTACGGATTGCAGAATTTGTCTGCTCGTGAGTTAAATCAGTCTCGCTGTCTATTTTTCCTTACTTTTTTTTTACCAGATTATATTTTTAATTACTCTTTTTCTTTACTTCGTCTTCTCACAATGTCATGGATCCAGAATATTTAAAATAAAAAATTTCAGCATTTCTCCCGAGCTCGAATGCCTTCTTCACTCGGGCTTTGGCCAACTATCGACAGGACTATCCTAAGAATTTAAGCGACTCCAGTAACACGTAAACATTGTTACGTCTAAACCATAGTCCTCTTATTACTTGTTGACCTAGACTTAAAATCTCAACTGACGACTACTTGACTGGTGTATTTACTTACTTACTTTGACACTTCTATTTCTCGTTTTCATTGGTTTTTCGAGCCCCAACATAATTTGCACTTACTAGTTTTGTCACTCTGGTTTCCTACAGTGCTGAATTTAGTCAAGCCGAAGTCTTCCTCAGCTTCACACCCCAGGCAGTGGCCGCCATTGTGGGTCAGAAGGAGATTTGCCACCACGCGACTGGTTTGATACCACAAAAGTGGTGATTCTTGGCATTGGTTACCTTGGGCTGGGCTTCCGGTCGGGAACGTCGGATTCCTTGTCGGCTTTGAGGGCTCAGCAGAGAGATAAGCACTCGCTGGTACATAGCAGCCCGATGTCTAGAAACACCTCCCAGCGGGGAAGAGGTAGTACACTGTTGGGAGGACTGGTATAGAATCTATTACTACTAACATTTCAATATTTTAGCCTTTTTACGGCATCCTTTGTGTTTTTTGTCCACCGTCGGTTAGATCACTACTTGTTAAAATTCCGCTGTTGAACAATATATTTCATTTTTTTTGTTTTTCTGGTCACTTCACGTATTCTTTGCAGTTTTGAAGACCTGCAAAGAAGTAATCGTTTCAGTTTTCTAAAAGGTTTTTTTCCTCTACGTACTTACAATGTAAATATAGTGGGTGTACAGTTGTTCCCTGTAAGGCATGGTGAGAATTGATTGCATGGTTCGCTTTTTCATTTATTAAGCATTAGTAGTCATTATAATGGTCTCATTTCATGATTTCAGTAAATCATTCCTTTGTTTGTTTTTTGTTATGCAGTTCTGTTTATAACGATGTTGCTGCCGAAAGTATTTCTTCACTTTTCCAAGTTTTTTTTTTTACTTGACTAATTATTTTATTTGAAGCTACACCAGCCGGCTTAAGGTCAGAGATATCTATTTCATTGATTAACAGGTTGTAGGTCAATATGTCGTTATCAACCCTTGATGATGTGTGTCCCATCTGTCTGTGTTCAATGGATGAAGAGTTTTCGCGGCCAGAAAACTGTCAACATAGATTCGACCTTGAATGTTTGACTGAATGGTCTAAGGTCTTGTGTGTTTATTTATTTCCAGCACAATTTCAGCATTTTTTGTTGTAGTTACGATTAAGTTGTCCATCATGTCGCTCTACATTTGGTGCGGTTTACTCATACAAAATAGTTGGAGCAAAACCAGTACTATTCAAAGTACAAAAGATGGATCCTCCCAAGGAGGCTGAGGTAGGGAGGTCTACGTTGTACGTTTGCTGTGAAAATAGAATATAAACTGGATTCGTGTGATTTTCTAGCCATTCGATGAGACGAACCCGCTCGATTTCACAATGTGTGAAATCTGCTCTGGTGGGCAGAATGAAGAACTCCTTTTGATATGTGACCAGTGTGACAAAGGGTGCGTTTTTGCATAGGAAGGTTCACATTATTGCTAGATTCTGTCTGAGCGGCCTTTTTTGGATTTAATCAAATTACAGTTGGCTACTTCTTTTGTTTCGTCTCGTAATAAAAGAGCTTCTTTGGCTACACGATCACTTATTTGATTTTTATCTATTTCTCATTATTTTTTATGGGGGTTATTATGTGGAATGCAACCACAGTGATGCTGAGATATGAGCAAAGCTCGAAACCTCAGGAGCGCTTCTAATCGGCGATTACCCTTTCGACTTCTATTATAATAATTATCCATTAAAACCAAGCGATAGCACACGTGGTATTTGCTGCACCACCGCGGCCCTAGATTTGCCTTCCTCTCAGCCAGTTTTTTTACCCTAACGGTGCTTGACGCCTACTTCTGGGTCCCAGTTTTGCTCGTATCTCAGCATCGAAATTCGTCGACACGTTAGTCATTACGAAATAATTGCTGCATTTTCAATTTCTTACCAATTGTTCAAGAAAACACCACCGTATATTTCTGGAATCACTACTTTTCTAGTTTCCACACGTATTGTCTTACACCACCTCTGGATTCGGTGCCGACATCGGAACAATGGTTCTGCCCACAATGCGAAGAATCTCGCATCACCAGGCCATCGACTAGCCGTTCAGCGCCGTCCGCTCGCACGATTAGACTTGTGCAGAGAACAGCGCTGGCAGAGAGGGTTCGCCGAATACTGGCACGAAGTCGACATTTGTAAGGCTTTTCTTTAAGTATGGAGGAGTTATACTATTTTGCTTTATACTGAAGACGTTTACGAACATTATGTAACAAGACTTTTCTCATTAAAACAAACCTATCTATAACTAGATAGAGATAGATTGATCAATATTTTCATTTTATATGGCCCGATATCACATGTGATAAGCATGGCAGCACTTCTTGCTTTCACTTCATCTTCTCGAATTCGTCGTCCGAGAAACTATTCGGATTCGTGGGCTTGGTTGCTCTAGAATTTCTGCTCTTCATGAATATCGTTGAATGCTGGATGTTTCGATTCTCTCGAATCTTGGGATAGCCATTTAAAGGCGTTTGCAAATTTTCATCACATGGGCTTCTGCTAAGTTTTATGTATTGGAAGGGGCCAGCTGATCGCTCTGAACTCTGCCAGCGCTCTGCCGACCTCGAAGAGTTGGGAGCCTTGGTCAAGCTGGTGCAATGTAGAGTCAGTGCTTCGCTAATACTAAACGCCATCGCTACTATTGTAGTATATGCCTTTTTTTAACCAATTAAAGGTCTTTTATTACAAGAATACTGACTATTACTTTCGCAGTTTGTTAAGCTTTTACTTTCCATCGGAGGAGAAATTATTACTTCATCAATACTCGATTATATTGTGGAATTGAGATTAATTATATTTCAAAGACTAACTTTCCTTTAACCTGGGAATAACTAATCAATATGTACTCCTTCATTGATGAGCTAACACGATGTTGATTAAAAACTTTGTTCGACTAACGTTTCAGCGCCTCTGCCTTCTTCACAGCCACGTTTATCCGAGTTTCGGATTGTCCACAGTTGTTCTTTCTTCCGATGTAGGTCTTCGCGATCGCAGCGACTGGAGTCGTATCCAGTAGAGCACCGCTCGAATGAATTAACCTCAACTGGGATTGTTCTTTTATACAAGACGGTTGTTGACTGGATTCGATCATTGGATTGTTTTGGATTTGACATTTTATTTTATTCCTTTTTTTTATTTGTTCGTTTCGATTTCGATTGCTTACCTACTGAATCCGACTCAGTGTGATCGCGGAAAACCACGTCGAAAGAACGAACAACTGTAGACAATTGACTTCGGCCAATCTGGCTATGAAGAAGACAAAGGCGACGAAAGGTTATCCGAGTAAAGTTCTTTTTTAACAGCATCTTATGAAAGTAATATGTTTATTGAGATTAATTATATTTCAAAAACAAACTTCGTTTTACCATCGACGTAACGAGTCAACATCTGTGAACGAGGTTGGTAAAAGAGAAATTTTATTCGACTAACGTTTCGTTGCTTTCGCATTATTGAGAGCCGTATTGATCCGATCCATTTTGTACCCAGTCCGTCATCGCCTTGTGGGTATTCGTGGAGGTTTTAGTCGAATCTTCATAGGCAGAGCACCGCTCGAAGGAAGTAACGTCACTCTGCGTTGTCCTGTGCAGGACTGTTGCTGTTAAAAGCTAAATAAAGCTCTCGGTGTTGACCAGTTCCTGAGGGTTGAGCCATGAGGCATTTGACTTCATTAAGCATCGTTGGAGGTGATTGAATGCATATGTGGCCTCTAAAATGATTCGTGGTGGTCTACCGATGTATCGAGCCAGTGCAGATATCCTTTCAGACAGGTGTGGTACCAATTTGCCGGCCCCGGAGGGATGGAAGGTTTGGTGAGCCACGGGCACGGGGATCGATTCTATGTGTATTGCAGGGCACCTCCGACCACTGCGTTACATGCGCCAGTTGCAGTTATTGATGAAAAATTATCAGTGCAAAATTACATGAAATTAACTAGTTCACGCATATGTTTGTGCATAAGTCTATTTGTCTTTTACTTATCTACTTGCTCATAGCTGCGTAGATTTGTAGCACATTTACATTAATTCATTGTAGTGCACAATATAATGCTGTTCAATATTTTAATACTTCTTCATCGTTGAATTTATAGGGATTATAGTGATGAAGGCAGCACAGAAGGTGAATATTATGAACAGGATGAAGAAGAGGAGGCAGATAACGAATCCGTTTCTTCACATGAAGTAAGTATCGTAGTAGTTTTCTATTCGATTTTCATATATATGATCTTCGCAGGAAGAAATAAATGACTTCTTTGACGACGATGCGCGAGTTTTGGGTGACCTAGAGTTGAGCGTGTCGTATGGGGTTCCATCGTTACCCAGGTAGCTATATTTTAAACCATTCTGTTTGATCTTCTTGTATTAAAAAATGATCGTAATTGTTGAGTCAGTTTGCACTGGTTTTGCAGCGTGAAAAGAAGTAAGAAGAGGAGGTGTATGAAAAAATCCTCTAAAAGAGCAACAAAGACGAGGAAATTAGTGCAGAAATCTGCGAAGAGGAAACGACGACGGAATAAGGTGAATAGGTTTTTCAGAATCATTATATAACTTTGATGGCCAAAAAACTACGAAGTTTCGGATTCCATAGTGGAAGTCAAATTTATAACAATGATAATAAGGCAATAATTTGTTTGTGCCTTAGAAAAAGTAGCATACTTTTTTCTATGCATTTCTGTAACTGTTTGCTTTGCAGAGTTAGCTAATATTTCCTGTTTCTATAAAAGTTTTTATGTAGTTTGAACTGTCTTCGCGTGGATTTTCTTAGCCTATTCTTTCTACGCAGAAATGTAAGCGCCCTATCAAAGTGGAAGACACCTTGATTAGTTCGGCATCGCGACGTGGTGCTCCTCGTGAACCTATTACACGGCTCTCACTACTTGGTGCTGAACTGGAACCAGTTGTTGATCCGTAAGTGAATATAATCACTATTCTGTTCAGTTGAATTTTCTGATGATTATTTCATTTTTTATTATTCTAATTCTAAATTGAATCAAATCGAGTGTTTACAAATTTTAACATGTCTCGCTTTACTCTGTAAACATTCTCGCGTCGAATGACATCTATAGGTGTTACAATGGTTTTGCTGGAGTGGCCGATAAGACATCTGGAGGTGTCGTTTTCTTCCCGCTGCTTTATTTTGGTTCACGGAAGTTTTCCTATACTGGCCGGCAAGACATCTGGAGTTGTCTTCTTCTTGTAGTTTGTCGGCAGTTATTCCAACATAGATGCTGTGGCGAGCGTCGTCCATGGTGTGATGTCTTCTTAATAATTCTTCGCTAATTTCCCATCTTACGGTAAGAGACTATTACTGTTGGAGCTAGTGTGTGGCGCTGAGACTGTGGCTAGTAAAGAGGCACAGAAATGCCTCTACCTCGAAGAACTGGCAACGCATACAGTGTGAGGTATCATATCTGACAAGCAAACCGTTGTTTTCTAATTTTCAATCACTATAATGACTTCTGGGTACTGTTTTGAATGAAAGGTGATAGGAACCATAAGGTAGAATTCTTAATGTTTCTTAAAGAACGTATACAACTTTATTAAATGCTGACAGCAGCATGATTACATAGTAGATAAGTGTTTTTAACAGAATTGTATATGCACCAAAAACATGGCATGATGTATATCATGATGGCATGAATAACATTGACCACAGAGAGGATAACGGAATACAGTAGTGTAGTACATAAAAACAGCCGGGGTAGCCGGTTTGACACCTATGGGGGTCACCATGAGCATAGCGATTAATTGGCGTCGCGCACTCCGCAGAATGCGAAATTTGGCATGGTCGCGGGAATGTTAAAGTGATTTAAATTATTACTTTCGCCTATTTTTATGTAAAAAGTTGTAACGATATAGCATGTTCATTTGTGAGTGTGGTAGCCTTGAAAAAAGTACTAACTGTGGATCTCATTCTTTCTGCCAACATGTTGGTAGTTTTCTTCGTTTTTTTTTTTGCTTAAGACTCCAGCCAAATGTCACCATCCATCTTCTATTCTTTCTATTCATTGGTAGTATCTGAAACATATATTGGACTTTCATTAAATCTTGGCATAAATAACCGATACCTTCCCATGTTATTGACCTAACACGAAGCTGTTCCAAAAGGACTATCCGGCAAACGTTTGGGCCCCTTTGCCTTCTTCACAGCCGCAACAATCCGAGTCGATTATCCGTTCATAGGCGGACGTCTTGAAGTGGCTCTTCATAGTCGCATCAAGTGGAATCTTCTGAAGTAGAGCACAGTTCGAATGATGAAATTCACTGGACTATACCATTTTATTACAGGACGGTTGTTGATCTGTTACTAACCGTTTTGCTCTGTTTCCATAATGGAAGTGCATCCTACACCAGTCAGTGTTTCATTGGCTAGCCTATTAAGCTATGTGCTGTCATAAAAACCTTTTACAACCTTGTGTTAGCTCAATAATCGAAGGAAATACAAATGTGTTCTCTGTTATCGCTATTCTTTTATGATGCGATAGAACTGAGAAAGCCAACGTGTTACTTTGTAAGTTGGCTACCTTTCAAGAATTTACGAACCCTATTTATTTGGAAGTATGGCCGATGGCACACCATATTCTTGACTAGCAAACACGAAGTTGTTACATTACTCTTTATTTACGGAAAAGCTGCCTACAAAAATGCCAATGTTTCGAGGGATTTAGCCTTCTTTAGAGCCTGGGAAGGTTAATTTGACTTCAATCTATCTAGCGAAACACCTTCATAACCAAAATAAAGAGAATGCTATACAAAGGTTTCAATCGCCTTGAAAACAAAACACCTTCTTCTCAAGCTCACCGCTTTCTATGAGTCTTCGAGTGAGTATTTTGCGTCGATGTCAACTGCAGAGTTCACATGTAAGCGTAATGTGACTCACATTAATACATCAGTCTCAAAAATTATGTTAGACGACGCCTAATAACGAGGTATTCCTCTCTGCAGTTCGTTCCCGGATCCTTGGAATTTATTCAAAATGTTTCGAGGGTTTTCGAAGATAATGACTTCTACTTCAAACACTTCTCCATCATCTCTTTGTGTCGTATGCGCGTTCAGTGAAGTTTTGGTTTAATTTTAAGTTTACTGGCTAAATTTTTTTTTATATAAGAACGCAGAGTGATATTCCACTTTCGCAAGTGTATTAGTCCCCACAGGCTTTACAAGAGATCAGATTAACCGTCCACGAAGTTATGCAATCACCATCTCTACTGTTAATGCACATTATACAATTTAGCGTTGTGCATAGACGGTCGTATAAGCGGTTACGAACTAGCTCGTGTATGAGAGTGTCTGGTGGTGTTTCAATCATTGCTATCCAATTTTCTAGGCAGGTCCTTCTTTAGCAACGTTTTATACTTGCAAATATTTCGTTAGAATGAAGGCAGGATAAATGGGACCTTGTTATCGCTAGAAATATCAGTAACTGCCACGACCGACTTTCTATTAACCTCGGCATTGATCAAGTGATTTTGTTCGTATTTTTTTGAGCAAACGCG